TTTCTGATTCTCCTTTCTATTTTAAATCTGACAAAGCAGCTATCGTCCGTCATTGATTACAGAATCGACCGCATGTTGCAGGCAGCAGTGGTCCCGTGTACAGCTGATCATCATGGCTGAAACAAACATGGTTGAAAACCATAGTAGCAAGTTTTTCTGGAAGAATTTGGGATGTGATCAAATTAGCTTTACACTAATTTAGAGAATTTTGAAGTTTGAATTTCAAACCAATTCATAATGCAATTCCATGAGGTGAATAAAACATTTTTTGGCCAAATAATATTTTATCAAATAATTTGCTTTATCAGGAAACAATAACCTTTAGACCTCATTTTGGGAAATTCTCGCTTATTTTGCATACCAAATGGAAACAACTTAGGAACTGTAAGCCCATATTACATGTGCAATAAATTATTTGAAAGCTAACAGCCTCTGGTTTCTGAATATATTAACGGGGTGAGTAGAACAAAGACCAAGCTGCATCATTTCAAACATGATAAAAGTTGTTTTTTGTTGGTCTTAACCAATAACAGCCGGACTCTACAAGGCTTAATAGGGCGCCAGCCAGGGCACTGGTTGACAGGAAGTGAACGGAAGTGAGATTTATGGAACTATATCTTGCTCCACCCTGTACTACCAACGGCCTATCAGCAATCCAGTGAATGAATAGAGATCAGCGGGCATGCCACTTTCAAAAGCCGCATATGCAACTTCTACAATGGCCCTTTTGAACTCCTAGTTTCACCAAATGCCATACATGTAGCCTAAGCTTTAGCCTAAGTTTTTCTAACACTGCATCATTTTCAATTTAAAATTTGGAAAGTTTTCTTCTTGTTTTGTTCCATTGTGCTGATAAATACCGGCTCAGATCTGCAACATTAGTGCATCAGTCACCTGGAGACATTGAGACAATATATAACAAGTTCAAGTTTTTTTTCTTTATGTTAGAGAAAGTTACCTCTCCAGCTTTCAGACTCAAACATTTTTTATTTTTTTCAGTCTCTCCATCTCCATCAGCTGCTGATACAACTAAAGATGGAGGTGTCACATTACAGTGTTCCCTGAAGACAAACCTCAAGTCGTTTTCTTGCTCTGGGAGTTTCCACTGGTTGGATGAGAAAGGGTTGAAACTGACTGGTGAAGATGACAGATACAAGATAAATGAAATAAGCAACTGTAATTCCTCTCTGACTGTGCAGCATCAGAACGCCACCAACAGAAAATACACCTGCAAATATGTTAAAGAAAACACAGAGGTAGACGCTCACTACACAGCTGTGCTTAAAGGTAGGATGACTTTTATTTGCTGAGCAGATTATGTAAAATGCAGAAAGTACAACAATTTTAATACGGCAATTATTTTTATGCTATAATTTCCTCTCTATTGAAGTATTGTTTTGCTTTCTGTACAGACTTGCATTTCTAAACCATTTTTCTCTCTGAAACAAAAATTACTCATTTTAATTTTCATACCGGGCAAATAATGTTTTAAACAAAATTTGGGTCTACTATTTTCACACCTATAACATCTGCTCTGCTTTAAATAGACCAGAGTTTTGGGTCTAGGAGACTGTAAGGTTTCTATCATAGTTCCTTTAGCAGAGAGACCTCAGGACGTTCCTTTCTGCTGCTAAGAAGCTATGAGGAATCCCACAATCCTTTGCATGACATGATGTTCAGGAACAACTCACCTCACAGAAATGAACAAAAATTCAGTATTGCTTCATGTGTGCTGTATGTGACACAGGCAAATGTTTGCACCCTCCCATGTTTTAGTCAACATCTCACTCCCAACTCATCACATATTGACTCTTGGTCAAAGTCCCCTGTGCGTCACGTACTGATGCCACAATTCTATGACATCATGTTTGTTTCCATCACATTGATTAAAACAGAGTTTAA